AAGCTGCCGCCGCACAAGTTCTTGGGATTTCGGGGTTTGTATCTTTGATTTTTTTTTTTTTTTTTTGCGCTTGTACTAATAAAGAGGTGTTTGGAGCGTTTCCCCGCAGCTGCACAGGCTCTCCTCCTCGTTATATATATCTTCTCATTCTTAACTGTAATTTTCAATATTCCGTAAAAAATCATTCAAATACCTCATAGTTAACTCGTGTGTAAGAGGTGCTTGACGATTTTGGTCATTTCAGGATAAAGATGGCTGCTTATCACCATCCGAGCTGCACAATCTTTTCAGTGTTTGCTCACCTTTGAAGTGGAATAAGGAAGTGACTTCTGCAGTCGAAACGAATGCAAAAGGATGGATCACCTATGATGGATATCTGGCTTACTGGATGTAATTTTTAGATTCGAATTTCGCTTTATCCTCATATCTGTTGCTAATGCTTAACTTGAAATTTTTGGCTGTTGCTGCCGGAGATTTCCATCTTTAACTGTAAAAAAAAAATATTTAGAATGATGACATTCCTGAACGTTTCGTTAACAATGGAATTGTTGGCATATCTCGGTTTCAACATGCACCACGAATCGCAACTGGATGCTATCAAAGTCTACCGTTTTTTCATCTTCTCTGCATCAGCTTGTTTTTTTGTAAATAGCGAAAAAAAGCCACAACATTAGATGACGATGTCGTTCCACGCCAATATTGTCGTTTATATGTGGCATTATTTGTGAATCTTGAATTCTTTTCTTATCTTTTGCTATTAGACGAAGTAATTTAGGCTGTGCATTAGCAGTGTACGAGACTTGGGTGAGATGGGTATCGCAACCCTAAAAGTTAATAAACTGGACCAGTGGCGTGCTCTCTGTGTGTGTGTGTATGTGTGTGTGTGTGTGAATACACCCAGTTATATATACATATATCTATAATTATATACAATAACCAAGTGTTATACAACGTAAAGTAAGATAAGGAAAATAATACGAAAAGAGCGGCGAGGCTCTGGGGATCCGGAGCTCCCCAGAACAAGGTGGATCCTGGAGATAGGGAGGAGTGTTTTTATACCCCGGTAATCGGAGGTCAGTAAGATTGCAAAATTTTAACGGGTTGGAGTGTCCAAAGCTTGAACCGGGCACTAGGGATGCTGCATCATAGTGGCGCAATTGTTCTTTACGTAATTCCTAACAAAAAGCCATAAATCATTACGTGATAGAAAGAAAATTTAGGTTCAAATTAATGCCTCATCCTTCTTTTTTATTTTCCATGAATCAGTGTTCTGTTGAATAAAGGAATAAAGCGCAAATGTTCAGGTAACACGTAAGCGTCGAATTGATATTGCTGAGAAATCGACTGCAAGAACGGTTTTTCAATGCCATGTGATTGGCCGCAAGGGTGCCGGTAAAACGGTCTTCATGCAGTCATTTGCAGGTCGCAACGTTCAGGTTTGTTTATTTCTTTACACGAAAAGTACCACACTGCTTATGAATGGATATTCCGCATTTAATACAGGTCATAGTATTGTATCGGTGGCCTCACTCTCCAGCACTCTTGTTCTTGCTTTAAGACAGGCATAAGCAACCTTTGGCGACATGCAGGCCTAATTTACATAATTAAATTCGTCGGCCACCTTTTAATAAAACCCAGGTAACAACGCAGCATGTTTTGAGGACACTGTCAGTAATGTGAAATTTTCTCAAACGGACAGCACTCCCCACGTGCAGTCTTTGGTTAACTTATGATTCATATTTCTTGGCTGGGGTTAGACATTCCTGTCAATTTATTGTTATAGCTTTAAAAAATGTTTATTTGGCTGTACGCTGATCCTGTTTGTTTGTAGGACGTGGCAGCAATTGAGCAGAGCAGGAAGACCATATCATCTTATGTTCTAAACCAAGTGAAAATAAAGGGCAGAACAATGTATCTCCTGGTAAATTTTTCTTTTTTTTTATTTGAAGATGGATTCATTTTGAATTTTATAGTTATAGCGTGACAGATTTAAATGTATGCTTTGTGACTCCTGCGAAAATCTGTTGATGATACACCTACACTTTTGATAGGTACTTTATCATTTCTGTTTTGTCTGTCGATGTTACTACAGAAATTTTGTTTGGGAAGTATGAGATAGCACAGGAACTGGTTGAGTAAAAGGGCAAAATATTTGCTTAATATCTCAGGTTTGCATTTTTTCTGAAAAGAATGGTGGTGCAGCCCAATTCGCATGCGTCAATCTTAAGTGGGCTTGGGGCAACAGTTGAAATTCCCGTGCTTTCACAGGAGTCAGTGAAATTTCATTACTGCTTTATCCTCAACTCGTTTTGCAAAAAGAAAAAATTGGCCAACGCACGGGCTGCCCGTGCGAAGATGCGTTTTTTGCAGAGTTCCCCG